TCAGTCAGAAYTGACTGCTATAAAATAGAGACAATTTTTAAGCCAAAGACTTCTGAATGGCAAGACACACAACAAATACAGAAGGAGGCCATTATAACCAGCTGATCACACAAGCTCTCGTGGTACATGTTACAATGCCAAGAAAAGAAAAAACCTCACAATGGAAGATTGGTACCTGAGAAAGAAATTTGTCAAATTGCTCAGAAAGGCAAGAGTAGCCGTACTGAAACACACTGGRCAAAATTATATTGAGAAAGTGGACTGTGAAAAGTTCCATGCAGAAACACAGCTATTGCTGTGAAAACTACCCTGCCTAGGAGGAGACAGTACCAGGGTCCACTTTGCTCCCAGCCATGTTATTCCATCCTGAAGCAGCCTGACTAAGGCCCAAGCAGATGCAGCTTGGCTGCCACTGGAACAAAAGAGACAAAATCAGGGCAGATCAAAAGAAACATGAGACAGTGACTGCTGARTCCACCCTAAATCCTTAAAAACAGAATTAAGAGAGGCCTAGGAAGCTGCTGAAGCTATACCATTTATCAGCTTAACTCCTGTTAAAGCAATAGGCAAGTAGGGAGCCTCGCTGAAGGTAGCTGTCCCAAAAGGACTGTGTAACACCTTCTCTCAATTTGGACAGTATATCTAGTTTCATTGGATGCCAGGCATGTCTGTAACTGCTGGGCAATTAGGTCTTGAGTTTGCACTTGAGTGATTAATTYCCTTCCAAGCTTGTGATTTATTTTCCACTGCGCACATGTGCTACTTTAGGTCCTCTACTGCCTTTTTCCAATGGTATGTAATTATGCATCTACATATGCTGAAAAATCAAGACTTGATTACAGCTAAAAGTAATGGAGGCTCAGAGAGGCTTTTGAGTAGGTCTGATTTTAATGGAATCAGTGAAAAGAAACCCCAGAACTTTCTGGATGACAGAGCTTTGGCTTCTCTGGCAGCCCAAGTTTGCTGGCTTTTAGATGATATTGGAAAGCTTCGATGTTTCCAGTCTGAATTATGAGACAGTCTCAAATGAACAGCAGCAGCCACCCACAATTAATGTTAAGCTTCTATCTCAGAACACAAACAAAAACAAACTGGAAGGCAAACCCAGATTTTCCTCAGCATTACATTGTTTTCCAAAACAGAAAGGTATAGTGTTTCAGTCTAGCTCTAAATTTTCCTACTTTTTTATTCTTCTAGAATTTGGTTTTATAACTCTCCTATCAAGCAGCAGTGCAAGGAAAGATGAATATAAACTTCAATGAACATCATAATCACTTCACAAACCAATAAGGTGAGAGAATATAGTCTGGGCAACAAAAGCAAATAACATCTGGAAAACACATTACCAGTCTGAGGGTTTTTTAATGGGTATATATTCACATTGCTGATTATTCAGGCAATTACAGAATATGGCATTCAGACTCAGGTTTCTTTAACTAAAATATACTCCTATTGTTTGCTTTTATCATCAAAAGTAAATTTCAGGGGATTAAGTTTCAAAACTTCMAGATAATTAAAGCTGTCTTGTTCTTTTTGCAACTACAAACATCACCTTTCAGAAATATAATCTATGCTGAATCTTGAAAGTTGAGATCACTTGAAAAGCAACTCACATTATGATATAATGACACCAAAAATGAAGACTTTCTGATATAAGACTAAATTGGTCCCTGGATTAAATTTACTTAGCAGCAATTTCTAGAAGTCCTGTATTCAGCTGCAAACACATYGAAACAAATATTTCATGCAGGAATCATGTGAATAGTGAATAGTGCCTGCAGAATACTGTAATGGTCCCCAGAGACCAGACAGGGCACTAGTCCTTACAGACCATGCGCACCCTCTATATTCATTAATACACCCTCACTTTGTGCTGTTGCTCTCTAGAATTGTTTAGAAATCAATTCTCAGCAAATATACATATATATATATATATATATATATATGTAGATATATTTATCTCCACATATATGTAGATTGACCTATCAACTCCACCAGTGTTATTTTCCAGAATACTCGAATTTGCTGAAATTTCAGTGCAAAACAGTGCAAAATATGATAGAAGAGATTTCTAAAAAAKGGTATAAGACAAGGCTTCTGTACTTCAGTTTTTCACAGTCTAATGGATTTCCCTTTCTTGCTTTATATTCCATGCATTTTGCCACAGAACTCCATAATAAACAAAAAAATGTTTTCACCTGTTTGGGGAGAATGGTTCTGAAATACAAAGAGTTGCATWTCAAAAGCCAGCACTAGAACATCATACTGATTTTTAAAGTTCATTTCTATTGCTTATGCCTGCAGAGAGTTCTCAAAAAGAGGAAAATTGTGACATTTCTAACTTCACAGAAACAGAGTGTCGAGAATGTTTCATTCTTTTAAAAAAGTGAGTTTCAATAGAGAGTCCTCTGCCTGGAGTACTCTTGGAGAACTTTAATTTCTCTATAAGGTATTCYGTGCTCAGCAGGATATATATAAATACCCACTCTGAAGAAGACACCTCTGCAGTCACTCATAGCTCTCCAGAGGAAGAAAATGCATTGTTTCTTCTTGGGGAAAAAWGCCCCAGAGTGTTTTATTGGCATGAGAAAAAGATTCAGAAATCACKTGGTGTATCTTTGGGGTTCCAAAACAAAAATTATGGCATGGTTAATTCTTTTCCTTTTTCCTTTCATTTTTACTTGCTTTATTTAATTTTTATGTGCTTAGATGTTCGAATGTAAATTATTAAACMCTGAACTGATAGCCGTAACATTCCTTGATGCTTAGCTTTACTTCCTCAGCAGGTCGGCCTATATAATTTTTGGATCAATAAAACTTTTGGTGAAGTTAATATCAGAGCAGCTGCCACATGCTAGAGACAAAGATGACATATGGAATCTGCTTATAAATCCTTGTACATTTTGTCTAGGAAGCTTCTAGATGACTTTATGGCCCCAGCAATAGAGAAAGGAGATATATGGGGTTCTACTTTTGGTTTATTTTACCAATTTGATAAATGGGAGATAGAAATAATCCCTTTTGGCTATTAAAGTAGTTTAAACACCTATTTAATTTTAGTTATTCTGGCTCTAGGCTCTGGAGTTGTCTGCAGCCTCGTCAAATTCTGGCAAATTTTGTGCTGAAATCTTTATGGGACTATCTACATGGAAATGTAATACTGGCTGCTGTCACAAGAATAMAGTCCACAAACGAAGATGCTATGCTCTTAAGTGCAAAGAAAAAAACCTTTCATTTTACAGATGAGCACATGTTCAAATATCCAGAATATTTTCTCTGCCTTGCATAGCTTCTTTTTCCTGCTGCCACACGGTACAAAGAACTTTCCATCTTAATATCTGGAGACTATTTTCTAACAGGAACTTCTAGATAATTTGGTAGTTTCTTAACAAGCAGGATAAATAAAGTTTATTATTCTTTAAAATCAAGACATCGAACCAGTTTTCTTCCTTGTTAAGTTCACTACAACAAACGCCCTGGAAAAAGACGTATGACATACATTACTGTAGACTCAGCAACCAGCTGGGTTAAATTTGGGTATTAAGTAATTCCCTCTTTTCTGTGTGCAAGAGCTGAATGATTTAATAAATCCCCATATGCCCCAACATGTGCCAGCTATACTAGGTTATCGAAAATCCAGCTGCTGTTATGATCATAGCTGCCAATGCTAAAACTACTGAAGAGAATAATGAATCAGCTTCAAGTCAACTAAGACGTAAACCGACACAGTTCCCCTTAAGATACGTGGGAATAYAATACAACTGTTAATTAAAAACTAACACTGATCCATAGTCACATGAAATTTAATGCCAAGAATTCATGGGCATTGTTTGTGGTGGAAAATTAATGCAAATCAACTGTATGAAGACAAGCAGCTCCATTTCCATCAGTTGTCCAAGATGCATAGGAATGTCCTATAACTTACACATTCAGCTTGCAAATTCTACTGTGTCACGTTTGTTTTTCTTTCTTATTATATTATATATAATTCCCATGCAGCCATTACATGACATGTTTTACRYAGCTAGACTTCTGAATTYTYCAATTATCACAGAAAACTGATTATGAAAATGATTATGAAAATATTTTAATATTTTAGTGTTTTAATGCAATCTAAGAGTCAAAAGTACAATGCCACTGCCCTTAAGTCATTGAACAAGCGCACAAACAAAGGAAGCAGAAAGAGAGAAAGTAGCCCAACAAGGTGTCAGAAATTATTCTCCAGATACATATTTTTTGGACACTCGGTGCAGAAATATCCATCAAAATATGKCACTSTTAACTTTTTAAAAGCAAAGAAAATACTTCCTTGGATAGTAAATTATTAYTTGTAGTTACAAAAACTTTGCAGGTGGATGGAGCTTTCATCCTGGTATAGTAGTCTAAGTAAATATATTAATGATACATTCATTAAAATATTCATTCATTCTTCATTTCTCACAATTAGCTCTGTTGTTAAGGGAAATAATTTTGAAATTAATCTGGAACTCATCAGTCACCTAAGCAAGATTAGAGTATTGTTATATTGATGTAAATTTACGTAAGATATAGGATATAAAATACATATTAGAACAAACAAACACACACAGAAAACCAACCCATTTACATTTGCCAGAGCTGTATCATCTCTAGTACACAAAGTGTGCAATGCTCAAAAACCACATGAAAAACAACTTCAGTAACTCCAACTTCAAGCACTCTATATATAGTAGTTTACGTATAAAAGATAATTTAAGAATGCATTATTTGAAAAAGATTAGGAATATATTGACAAATTAAAAGCATGTCATGCAGAGATTTAAGATGCTTATAAAAGCTTAAGCAAAGGGGCCAACCACATCAAGAGGCTTACAGAAAACTCAAAGACTTTGAAAGCTTAAAGAACCTCATTTTTTTCATACCTTAATTATGAGGTTGCAAATAATTGTGTTTTCAGCCACATGTTCCTGACATTGCAATAAACCCAACACCGTCATTTTCTCAAATATTAGTAGACTTACTTTTCTTTAAGGAAATCCACTACTTGTTTGAAGTCTGCCACACAGTATTCTCTTTTCATGTCCATGAGCACGCTGTCAGAAGCTGACTGGACTGGTATGTGCAGAAAAGCATATACTCTTGGATGATTAAGAATCTTGGCCATTTCCTAAAAGTGATTAAAAGAAAAAGAAGCTTTAAAGCATTATGAAAAAAAAATAAAAAAAAAAAAACCAACCAAACTTATTTAAATTAATATATGGGGTAAGTATCAGTAGTGGTACTTCTAAAACCCAAACAATCCTAAATTGCCGCAGGCCAGTCTGAAGCAGTAGGGAAAGGTGAAAATATCTGAWAGCAATTTTGTTCTAAGAGAAAATAAGAAGAAAAACAATGAAATGGAATTTCCTTTGAGACAGGGATCATATTCCCTGTGTAGTATTGATCACGCAAATAAAAGAAARTTTTAGAAGCAAGGTATTGTGAAAATTGGTGATTTCAGACAGTGGCTGTTTTCAGAAGATGGCAAGGGTTTGTTGCTTTCTTGTCGGAGTGAAGTAACTTCTCAGATACAGCTGTGAGAATGTCTACAACTGAAGCATCCCTAAAGTTGGCCAGTTGCTAATCAAAGTACACCTCATCATTTGCAAACCTGCGCCAATACTGGTCTGAAATGTTACCTGTGTTACTTCAGAAAAGAGAACAGAAATTAAAAGTGCTTGGCTATAAATAGAATTAATCAGGGGGCAGCTGAAAAATGGAGTGATGGCTTGGAAAGAGCCAGGATGTTACACATTTTGTAGAAGGTCAGAATGAATGCAGAAGGTCAGAAAGAAAAAAAAAGGAAAAGTAATAGCAAAATGCAAAAGCAAACCTCCTAGTGAAAGCCAAACCAAACCCCCAGCTGAGGCTTGGCAAGGTGATGGAATRTGAATGGAGAATGGAATAGGGTGAGTGGAACCTATTTCTTTCATTTTTATTCTTTACACAATTAAGCACATGCAGTCAAGCAACTACTTCTRAAAGTTGAGACCAGCCAGCATCTATATTGTGTGCAGTATGGCACCATACTGCTTGTTAATCTTTGTCCTGCAACAAATAAGTGAACTTGGACAAAGAACCATATTCCATGARCAACCAGGTTTTCATGTAAGGTTTTCCTTTTCTCCCTGTGCTGTGGGCATACGGGAAATGCCCTGGGACTGAGCACCGTACTGCCTGCTCTTCTGCCAGGTGCATTCTGCATGCTCCAGTCAGGCTCACTCAGGCCATTTCTCCTGTTTTCCCTGATGGCACAGATATTCTGTCTGACAACACATACTGCTGCCAGATTTAGCTTTTAAGATGCAACTATTTACAAATTCCTTCCAGATCATTAATCAGCAATATTAGTCACGCATCTAGATTTTCTCTCTGTATTTCTACAAGGCTGGCCCAGATTGTTCAAAGAGAAGGCAGGCATCCTCATGCCTTTTCTTTCACTTGCAGGAATTCAGCTTTAAAAAACGCTGATTAGGACAAGAAAAAAAATGCTCTCTCAATACTCACTTTTCATCTGACAAACATATGTGTACAAAACCCAAACTCTGTCAAATCACTTCTGGAAGCAGTTTCAAAAGTTTCTGTCTGAGATACTATTACATAAATGTCTAAGAGAAGTGGTGACATTATTCAAGGCAAGCAACAGCTACTCCATCTCAGGCGTGTAAATTCAACATTACAGTAATGGCTAYACTGATAATGGATGGAACCCAACTCAATACACACAAAGGCTCTGTGCACGGAACCTGGMTCTCAGTGGAAGCTGGAGGTAGCCAGTTTCTTGAAAAAATGAGTAAAGAAAAGGGCCACCATGCATCTACACAAATTTTGTGTCCAATTCAATTGGAACTATACTTACCTGGGTCTTTAGTAATTACAGATGTTCAGCTAGAAGATATTTTCAAAAATGAAATTGTACAGAACAAGTTCTGTAAAATAAAGTACTATAACGTGGAAACCTTACAGATTTTATTTTTACGCTTTAGAAAACCTTGTATATGTAATTTATATTAAGCATCCTCATAGTCATCTGTGATTATTCTGCTTATCAGTAATCAAATATGTTTCCAAAATATAAGAAATATGAGCTGCAACTTAAGCTATGGACCACAAACCTATTATTCTACTTATCTCTTGGTTCCAAGTACTTCATTCAATCTTCCAAAACAGATTTATGATACATGAAACCAATGAAAGTCATGTTTCATGACATGTTTCTGAGTCTGCCAAGTTCTTAAAAATAACTTGCCCTACAACAGAGAAAAAAAGAGTCTTTGCCAATCCTCTCAATTTTTGTGTTTTCTGAATAGCAGCCTCTTTAATACAAAATCACTTTGTGAATTCTTTTTGAAAGTAATTAATAATTTACTAGAATTTCTAGATTTGAAAGTGTTACTTTATTGCAGCATTTGTGAGGCTGAGAACTATCAGAACAAAAAAAAAAACAAACAGATTCCATGCGTTTGTTTGTTTAGGATAGAACGATTACGTTTAAAAAACCCTTCCTTGTTATACCACAGTTGTCATTTTAAAGTCACAAATGTGGAAATTCTCTAGTTATATAAAAATACTGGTTCTAAGTATCATATTCACCTTTAAAAATGAAAWTTTTGCTGTGAAATATGAAGAGCGAAAAGCAAATTCTAAAATCTCAAAAGCGTTTTCCTATCCAGAGTATTCAAAGAAACCCAAACCACCCAGCTCCAAAGCCAATAGCTGCTGATCTGACAGTAACATGCAGAATCCTGCTCTTCTCACAGTCAATGTCTTTCAGGGGGATGTGGCCAAGTAGGAGCTATTGACTGCCCTCCCTGTAAGAGGAACTAAACCAATCTTGTCCAATAGCCAGTGTTAAAAAAGAGTAATCAGAACTGCTCCTTCCAGTTATCCCCTATGTAAAAGAAAGRAAACATGTTTTCTGCAAGTACTTGTGTCAATAACTTTCAAGATTAAGAACACAACTGTTGCCATTTAAAGTAATCACCCTTGGTTGTGTACTACTGGGACACAAAATGTCTGTCATTAATTAACTGAACTTTTCAACTGTTACTACGGATCCCTGCATACAGTAAAGGCTACAGCTGTAAGCTGAAAAGTATCATTGATTACTCCACTGCATCATTTTGGTTCAGAAAGATACAAATCAGTCTCCCAATATCAAAAGCATTCTTCAGAAAGTAAATCACTTGTCGTGTATTAGAAATTCACACACAACACACACAGCCCATCTGGGAACACTACCACATCCTGGCTGCTGTGGTCGCAGTTTTCTGGGTTGTTCTGGATGGCCAAAGCCCCTCTTAAAGATGAGGAGGTTGCAAACAGCTCTTTATACTGTGAACTCCTTTCTTTGATACTTTCTGTATCTAAAGCTACACAAAATGTGCTGCATGTGCTTTGAATCAAAGGTCCTACTGATAAACTAAATTCCCAGCAGGTACTTGAGGATTGTAATGATTAACTTTGTGAATTTAGCAGAGCACAAATTATTAACACAAACCAAACACAAGACAGAAATACCTGATGGCCCACTGTTTCACTGTCATTCAMTTTTAAATACTACTGCTGGTCTTAAATTTACCTTTTATAAGCAGAAACTTGCAGTGTTCAGAAGGAAACAGAATWATGAATTAAACAAAAGCTGTGCATGGTTGCATCAGAAACGTGGATAAATCAATCTTCCAAACTTTGCAGTGTTCAGATAGAAATATCACATTCTAAGATGCAGCTTTAGGGTAAGATTGCTTCAGTCTTACCTATTATCCTCCCTACCMCTAAAATAACACTGAAGTTCTTTACCACATAGGTTTGATTGCATTACAGTACTCTGCACTGAACAGCAATACTTAGTCAAGGCTGACAGATTTTCCCATACCACAGATTGCACACAGAATAGCAGATTTCATCACTTAATMAAACTATTAGTTAATATCCCAAAGAGTATTTGAAGGATATCATGGGTTAATGCATATTTGTACTTCACAGTGTCTCAACATTCTAACTTAACATCTGCATCCTGTTGTTATTTTTTTTTTTATAAATATACGCTTTTTTTTCTAAAGTGCTTTGCATTACTACATATAATGACATATTTCAGTTAGAAGAAAAAAATGCAATTTAGAATTTTATTTCCATCTGGAAGCAATAAATGAACAACATTTTGAAACTACATCCCTGTTAAAGAAACTTTCTGTCTTTCATCACAACTGAAACAGCTGACTGCCTTTTCTCACTATTCCCTGGAATCTGATAATGTGTCTATGAAAGAAGGGATGCACTACACAAAAATGRTATTTCATGTAGGAACTAAAAGGTCAAAGAGTAGCATAATTTGTTTTAACCTGACTCTAGGAGTCATCCACATTTGGAAAATAACAACGTATGTGAAACACCCTTTAGGATACTGATCACATAGGAATTTTTTTTCCAGTTCTTAGCAGCTGGTGTACATTAGAACACAAGGCACATTACCAGAAAGATTTCTATCTAGTGAGTATATTTTATCCTAGCAATTACAATACACAAATTTAACCACCTAACCAGAAAATCACACCTCCTGTTTGCAATGATATCATGTGCAACCACAGAGAATTGCAGTGACAATAAACATCAATATCTGTGCATCTTCATGTCAGTACCAGCAAGCTGTTCAGACAGAAATTCTCTCCCCTAACCTAAAGCAGGCAAAAATCCAGTATTTCAATTCTGTCTCGTGTTTGAGTCACGATAATGTGAATAGCTTGCTTCTTAGCAAAAGGATTTTGTCCTCTGCCAGCAGTGAAGCCCAAAGAAACCCTCATCCATATGGAAACATGACAAAATGGCACTYTCTCAAAACTTCATCCCTTTGTGGCAGATGTTACTTTGGGATATGCCACAAGGGGTGTCTGCTGACTGTTGTCTTTCAGAAGCTGACTGGTGCTGCCACCAGCACAATCTGCATGAAAATCAAGTGGCTGTGGCCCATTGTATAAATTCCTCTGCTGCGGTGCAGCTCAGGAGCAGATGTGATCTTGTGATGCAGACACAGGAACGATAACACAGTATGATCCAGTCTGGAAAACCTGTAGCAGTTTYGTTAAAACTAATGAACAGGGAATTCTCCCCCCGCTTCCCACCTCCCATGAG